GGGCTGTATGGTTCAACTACTCATCATCAATATGTTTTAATAAAGATAAGCTGAAACAATATTTGTACTTTTTTATTTCAGTGAATAAGAAATCTCTTTAGAGTAGATGGTGCAGATAAAAGGCTAATATTATGCATAAATCTTTATAGAAAACTGCCTCAACAACTGTGTACACAATCTGCTCATAGACAGCAGCCACTGATGAAATGGTAAATGTTTCACAGGTATCTCATCTATCGTGAAGTCGTCCAGCATAACACAAACTATCAAAGGCATTGCAACAGCTGGTAAGAACTCTTACAGTTGATCTATAGTAGGAAAGCTTTAGATCAGTCAAATAAATTGTATAACGCTTCTGGAAATGAATTTATTTGCTGCATCGTTAGAAAGAATAACAGCTTTATATTGGAAGGCYAACTTGAGAGCTGTAGTGGGATGTGTAGTTTAGTTTGGGAGGGGGGAACCGACCAGCTACTTTGAAGCTCACTATTTAACACTGTATATCTTAGATTTATTTATAGATATGTTATAGGAGCATATTTTTTAGTCTTCTCTGTGAAAAAACTGTCTCGATGTGGACACAATGTTTTTGTGTCATTTTTTATAGGTTTGTGGAAGACGGTGTCATACAGCTCCAGGAAATTGAAGAAGATGTGGAGGGGCTGGTGGAGGAAGCCACCTGTTTCAAACATGTCCTGATGCAGATTATGAAAAACCATTTCCATGATCCGTCCTTTCTTTCCCTTTTTTTTTTTTACACCTTGACTAACTGTGACTGGAACAATCACACTCTAATCTTCATTACTTACATCCTGTGTCATTTTGTGGGCTCTGTAAACATGACGCTGCCTGTGTACACATGCTCTTTCTCATTAAACTCATGGTAGTTGCAGGAAAAAAAACTGTCCTTTTGAAAGACAGACTTAATAAAATTCCCAGTTGTACTAAGTGTTCGACCTTTCTGATTGTGGGTGGCAGTGAGTCAGAAGAAACCGCTGAGAGGGACACGTACAATCAGTGAAATGTAAAAGTCACAAATCTTGTGTTAACACAGCTTGAAACATTTACCTCAAGTTTAATGACCTGAGTTTGGCATCGTGTTCTAGTTACATCTGAATGGTTTTACGTGAACACTGCTGACCTTGTTGGGACCTATGACTGATGTAATAGGCTTCAACGTAGTTTCAGAAACCATGCACGTATTATAATTTATCTGCGTTAGTGTTTGACTTGTGGGTTTGGAGTTTCACTCTCCAGATCACAGTAGTGTGCAAGTTTGTTAAAATATATTAAAAAGAAGTGAATTTTGAGTGATTTATCCAGCGACTGATATTTTATCTATGGTAGACATAAAACCAGAACTGAAAAGTTAAATCCATTGAAATGATCCTTTATTGGTACGGGATGTTTTGGTTTCAGTTTTGGACAGTGGATGTTTACTGGAGTTGCTTCGTCCATTTTAATTTGATGCAGCTTTTGTTGAAATGAGGATAACCATGGATTTCCTCACATAATACTTCCTCATAACAAACACTGTTGTTATTTTTTATGTGTGTATTTGAAATTTCTTTATTAAATGTATAAAACTATACTATACATTATAGTATATAGTGTCATGCATGTATTGTCACTGCACTGTCTGTTTAGTAATGAAAGTCTACATGTAGTTAAATATTGAGTAACTTACTAAACTCAATTGGAAAAAAAATTGCCTCACAGCCTAGCAGACATYTAATCAATAATTGTAAATAACCCAAATCACAATAAATAAACACATAAACTTCGCCTCATACTAACAGTGAAAACAACTTTTGACCCTTAAACTGACCTTTTCGGGATTCGCTTCTTTGGTCTCCCTAAATTTGAAGCGAGCCACAAGCTTTTGTATCCCAAAAATAAACGTACAAACAACACATATACTTACTTTACCAATGATGTGTTGAATTTTTATACTTTCAAGTTGTTTTCGTCGTCCACTGCAGTCTTTTGATGGCAGGGTGTGTACTGGTACTTTGTAATACCTTGCTGTAGAAGGATGAATCGCCATAAAAAAAGAAGTTTAATAAAGTTTTATAATATAATCACAATAGTTCTCTTCAGCTGTGTTTTTCTTTTCAAGATGAGGTTTCTTCAACAAGTCAAATTTAAAGACAAAAAAAGCTTCCATCTTAGTCAAAATAGTAAGTTGCTTATGTCTGCATCTTCCCTGTTTAGACTATTTTGAATATATTTAATATTTTTCATTGTTGGATATGTTTTGGATATGACTTATTCAATGCTTTATCTTTAATTTTGACTACTTGATTTTATTTATAAAATGTGGCTTTCTTTTTAAATAATGTCAGTCGTTTTAGTGAACTAATGAGTGAGTTATTTTTAGTAGTGAGAGTGCAATCAAACATTATTCAGGTGTCTCATTTGTTGAACTCGTAATGCTGTCTGGCTTGTCCTACTGTGGCAGCTCAAAGATTTATGCAGTGTTTATCGCTGTTTACTGATGGGTTTATGTGTGGAGATATGTAGTGGTTTTGTCTAAAATATGGTGCATGGACACCATGCAAATCAGTTAAAATGTTTGTTTTGATGAAGTTAAAAATAAGTTACTCACAGCTTTTGGATTTTGACTTTCTGATCATTAGTGCTGCTGCACAGATCAGGAGGGTAAAACAGTAACAAGTAACCACTTAGACCAGAGGAGCCCAAAGTGGGGCCCGCGGGCCAAATTTGGCCTGCCAAGTCATTTGATTTGGCCCACCAACAGTTCCCAAAGTTACAAGGTTGTAACCTGTTATCCTATAGGTAGAAGCACAGTATTTACTTTGGTCAAATGACTATATAAAAGGGCTGTAGTGAAGGTAGTTTTCAGTCATGGTGCTGACATATCTTTGATTTATTAGGATTAAACATGAAACGACAACAAGAAATATTTAGATCAGATTTAACCCCGCATGTAGATTTACACACTTTATAAGGCAGTGTTTCCCAAAGTTGGGGTCAGGACCCAAAGTGGGGTCCCGAAACATCAAGATGGGGTCCTGAAAATATTTTCTGAATTAATTACATTTTTGCCTTAGTAGTTACAAAGGAGTGAGGTTAGTATATTTAAAATGGATAAATGTAGTATAAAAAATATTGGGCACAGGTCTCTGCTACTGTTATTTTGTGGGTCAAAAGCTGAAAAGTTTGGGAACCACTGCATTTTGGTTCCCAAAGTTGGGCTTGGGACCCAATTATGGGTCATGAAGCAACTTGGATAATCTCCAGAAATCAATTTAAAGGGTAATAAAATAATTGCTGATGTAATATTTTTCCTACAACTACTACAAAAACACAAAATTAATATAAATAAGTGTTTAAATTTGTTACAAGCTGTTTAGATTGTCACAATGCCTGTGTTTTAGGGTTATTAATGAAGTTCGTGTACTCAGACCAGTAATATTTGGGGTCACACGTTTTTGCCATAGATAGTTTGTGGGTCAGAAGATAAAATGTTTGGGAACCACTGTTATAGGCCACAAAAACTCATATTTTATCAATTTATGAAATGTCCCATGAGCCTTTGCTTCTTGAGAGTATGGCAGACTTTCTCCAAGTGCACAGACTAAAACCAAAGAGGGCCATTGCATAGCTTAATCGTTAAAAATAAAGGACTTTACTTAAAAAAGTATTTGTATTTCATGTATTATATAACTGCATTTGGCCCGCAGCCATGGATAGATTTTGATTTTGGCCCCCTCAGGGAAAATGTTTGGGCACCCCTGACTTAGACTATCTTCAAACAGCGAATTTGACTAAACGTACTAGGCTATTATGAAGAAAAACAATATTTATGGCATCTTTAAAAAGCAAAACGAAACAAAACCTAAAAGGTTGTTTGTTACAAGGTAAGTGAGTCAACATGTTATTTTTTTTCCCCATTAATCATCCCTTTCCTGGTGAGTCATCTTGAAGCAGGTTCAAATCYGTCCTCAGATGTTAAATGTTTTTCCTTTTGTTTTCCTTGCTGGTGAGCAACCAGCCATTACTGTATCTGTTACAAACCCTGTCCTGAGCACGCACAGMTTTTCTTGGACAATTTTCAGTTCAACATTTTGCTGTTCCCAACATTGTGTCACCCTACAGTTAGAGGTTCAAGTTGTGTTTATTCAGGTTTTCAAGTCTTTACAAAGTTTATCAGGCAAGTTATCCTCAGATGATCTTAACGCTTCTGCTCTTTTTTGTATTTCATGGACTACGCCTAATAGAAAACAAAAACAAGCTAACAATACATGATGCTGACATAAAAATGATTTATCTTCCTGTGTTCTCTTTCAACTCGGAATTGACATCAGTCCGACTTCAGAAATTTGAGTTCCTCAACAACTGGAACTATTGTGGAACATTAGCAGCAATCACTTATGTTTGAATGTTTTTACAATCAACATCAGAAAATCTATAACATTCCCAGAAGATTGTTTAAAATTTATATGTTTTATATTTAGATGTTTTTAGGCTCATAAAACAAGGCCCATTAAAAAAAATAAAGTAAAATAAAAAATTAACATGAGGTGGGGGTTGGTTTGTATTTTTTGAGGAAGTCTTTTTTCTTCTGTGTTCTGTGACCACTCAAACTTTGAGGACTGTTTGACAGAACATACTTTGAAAATTACCAGACTATCACTTTAGTGTTCATAACCTCCACTTCTAAAGATCTGAACTGTCACTTTAAGAAAAAAGCTACTTGTTGAAAAAAATAATAAACAAATAAAATAAAAAACACACACACAACGAGACAACTACAAAATAAAGTTAAATATCATTATATATTATAAATGATATAATATGTAGTTCTGCTGCTGGGTTCTGTTCCAGGCAGGAAACCCTCCGCGGTTCTCCAGTAATCTGTTACAAGTCCCTGAGGATCAGTGAMAGCGTGATGCAACGCTCCAACAACACAATAAATGCTGATATCATTCCTCCAGAGCTCCACCAATCAGCGAGCTCCGCTTTCACCACCTGCTAGGAACTGAATTCCATCATTCCTGGCATTCCTGCTCCCTCCCTCCCTCCTCTTCCTCCTCCTTCCTCCTCCTCCTCTCGTTTACAACCAAGTTTGTCCCGACAGCTACTATTGTGCGTCTCGTCGTTCGGGACGTTCCAACCGCGGTGGTTTCTTCTTGTTTCTTCGYGGGGGATATTTAACTATTTATATGTGGACTAGTTTTCTTGTCTTTTTTTTTTCCTTTCTCGAACTGGACGGTTCCAAAGTGGCGCGTGAGGGAGGTACGTGTTCGTGTTGTTCCTGACTGACATTGTTCCGTGTTAGCTTGAATTCAGCCCCGGTTTTTCCTCAAATGTTCRTGTGTGTTTTCTGCTCAGACAGGACAATGTTTATTTTTTATTTTTTATTTTTTGGGGGAGTCCCTTTGGCGAACTTCCTCGTGTCAAAAACAAAAACAAAACCCAGCTCAGCTTCACGCTCTCAGACGCGGTTGTGACGACAGAAAGTGTGAAGAAATGTCAGATGTTATCAGAAAACAGGAGCGTTTCCTGCTCCTTTCCTGTCCGATCATTGCGGCAATCCTTCCTGAACAGGACACATCTGCTCAGGAC